GACTTGTCCTTTGTCATTGTGATTCCTTTCTTTCAAAAGGTTCGGGCCAAATTTATTTTTAAAAAAAGGGGAGCCTAACCAGGTTGGGCCGGGTTGAGCCCGGTTGGACCGGTGTCTACACGCAATCATGGTCAGACAAAACAGAGGCTAATTTCGGGTCAAATATTTTTATTAACTGATCCTATTGTTTTTAGCTTACACGTATAATAACTTTTAGCTTTTTAACCCCAGACCTCATGCACAAAAATATGACATTCGTCCACTTTTCCTCATCTTCTCCTAGCGACTTGATTTTACCTTCAAGGCCCATCTTACCAGCAAAAAAAAAAATTACCTGCGTGATAATTATTTGCCAAAGAGCGCTTTACGCATGAAACGCCAGCCGGTCAAAAAAACTGGCGAACGATACGATCTTTTATATTGCTTGAATTAAAATAATCTTAATCCTTATAGCTACTGGTCGCCCGGAGCATTCGCTAGCATTCCATTGCCAGCTGCATTACCAACATCACATTTGCATTAGGGGAGAGTGGGGTAAGATGCCTAGGGTGGGAAAGACGCCCCACCCCCTCTAGCGGCGAAACAAAGAATCGAACCTGGAAATTAATGTTCTTACCGTAAAGTGGAAGCCTGCCTTGTTAACAGCACAAAAATTTGCGGAGCTCAGTTGGGCAACGGCTGGCTGGTGATTGCATGTTTTTTATTTGCTGCTTTCAAAAAATATTTTGCTGTCAAAACATTGTAAATATCAAAGAAGGTAGATAATTTTTGCGTCCCTTGCTATGTAGTCGTGATACAGGGTGACACAAAAAAACGGTCATCACCAAATTTCGAATAACTTCGGAAGTGTTATTCAGATCATCACCAAACTTCGGCCACTTCAGGTCACAGCTATGTAGCATACATCCACCAAGTTTCAAGTCTTCACTACGAATACTTTTAGTACAGTGTGTGTTTTACTGACGCTCCACAATGTGCTCCAGGTGAGCGCCACGGCGCTGCAGGGCGTAGGCACACTTGCATCCGGCGGGCAAAGTTGTCGATAACCCGATGGCTGTGCACTTTACAGAGTGCAATGGCCTCTGGAGACAGTGCTCAGGGGGTGTGCTACCCCTGAAACGTTATTCTTATCGGGTTATCGACAACTTTGCCCGCCGGATGCAGGTGTGCCTACGCCCTGCAGCGCCGGGGCGGTCACCTGGAGCACATTGTGGAGCGTCCGTAAAACACACTGTACTAAAAGTATTCGTAGTGAAGACTTGAAACTTGGTGGATGTCTGCTACATAGGTGTGACCTAAAGTGGCCGAAGTTTGGTGATGATCTGAACTTCCGAAGTTATTCGAAAACTTCCGAAGTTATTCGAATTTTGGTGATGACCGTTTTTTTTTGTCACCCTGTACATGAACATGCGTGTACTGTGTCCTAAACAGTTTGTTTCAGGGTGTAGTTTTATGGCTAACAAATTGTACTGATTTAATGTTACTTCGGTACCTTAGGGTAAGATGCCCTCTGTCCTGATGGGGAAAGACGCCCCCCTAAATCCGTAGGCTGTCTTTCAAGCAGCCCGTCAAATCATTTATTACATACTTGTGATGAGAGACAAAAGCCGATCTGGGACTATTGAGAGTCCAGCACGGTCGGGTGCTCCCGATGTCGGTCTCTCGGCCCACACAGCGACTTTTTGGGCGGCATCTGACTCTGAGAGCCCTCACGACGGCCTCTGTGGGCCCCATTATTGGCTCCAGGGCCCCTCGCGACATCCTTTGAGGGCTCCCACGTTGGCTCCACGGGCCGCGCTGGCATCTGAGGTCCCCACGATGGGCTCGAGGGCCCTCAAGCATCATGAAGACCTATAAGGGCCCCACAGTGGTCTCCGAACGCCACCACGGAGGCTTGTTTGGCCGCGCTGGACTATGATGGCCCTAACGATGACCTCTGAAGCCCCTTACGACTACTTTTGAGGACCCTTACGATGACGTTTGGTGTCTACTGCAGGCTCGAAGGGACTACTGATTCGTTCAGGCGATTCACGTGCCCATTTATGTCACTTAGAGTGCAGGGGGGCATCTTCCCCAACGCCAGGGGGCGTCTTTCCCACTCTGTGGGGTAAGATGCCCCCTTTCACTTCTTCAGAAAAATGCTTAATAGCAAAAAAGTTATCATATTTCAGGCACGAAAGTGTGATATTTTTTGGAGAAAAATGATGTCGGCTTCCGTTGAAACTCCAAGTTTTTGCTTTCCGATCGTCATTTTCGAATAATATATGACATAGCAAAACCCTGGGCATCTTTCCCCACTCTCCCCTACTTTGGGCTCACCATAGTTGATAGTCATGCCCAAGGCTATATGTCATGCCTCATTATCCTTTCCTTCCAAGCAGCCAACTGCCAAGCTAACCGGCCGCCCGGCCCACCACCGCGATATGGAACAACGCTGGAGTGCGCCATTTGCCTGCGGCAGCGCCCCACCGCGCCGGGGCTGTTTGACAGGTCACCCGCACCGTGACCTCGCCACCCGCCCCGCCCCTCCCCCCCCCGCCCACCTCCCCATCGGGCCCAGGTCGGTAGTGACCTCTCCTTGAATATCACATGAACTCGACTAAGGCTCAACTAGTTGCGTCTGGAGATCCTTACTGGATCCACTGTACCTACCTAGTAGCTTATTTGATTAATCGACAAACGTGGAACAGTCATTTCGGCGGTTTCGCACTACTTTGGGTGAACAATGAATACCTACCTATAGTCTTGTTTACCGAAGCATCTCAGATCCAAGTGACAACTGAGCAGTTAATCAGCGTCGTTAATATGACGGATATATATATATATATATATATATATATATATATATATATATATATATATATATATATATATATATATATATATATATATATATATATTTAAATATATGTATATAGGAAAATATTTCCTAAATATATATTTAGGAAAGCGCATAAAACCATGTTTTGGCTATAAAATCGACCCATGAAAATGGCGCTCACCAAACTTTGTCAATGTTTTGCTTATTGAACAGTATCTATTTCACCTGTACTTATGGTATATAATATCCCTATCTGATAAAAGCAAGGAAACCATTGTATCGTAAATAGGGCATGGGGCGTCTAGCCTACAATGGGCGTCTTAGACGGTTCTCTCCAATAAGATGCAACAACGTGTGCGAATGGAAATGATTCATTTTTAGAAGCATCAGTTAGGTAGGGGAGAGTGGGGCAAAGCGGCCACCCGGGGCAAAGCGGCCACCCATCGTTTTAGCCCTTCATAGCTGGCGTCAGTTCCAATTGATGGTTTCCAATTATACTTCTCTTCACGGTCGTTCGAATGAGCCAGACCGGGGTTTCAGGCCCATCACCATTGTTCTGTGAAACACGGAAAAGCATTTCTTGCCAGGTTACCAACTATGTTTACAATTTTAAAATGTTATGTTATTCCATAACCGTTTGGAATTTTTATAAGCGTTCTTGTCCATGCATTGCATGGTTATCGTACATATATTCTACCAATTTTAATGTTTTTTACCCCACTAATAGCTAAGCTGGAATATTTTTGTCTCGGACGGTATGCGCGGGGCAAAGTGGCCGGGGCAAAGTGGCCATCCCCCAATTGGCCATAAGTTGATTCCATCTGGATAAAAAACATTATTTATATTCAAATGTGTCGTCATGCATTCATCTTGGCCACTTTTCAGTTGCATGAGTTACCAAATAATGCAATTAAATATTTATTTTCATGAAAATCCTTTCTTTGTTTACCTACAGGTGGAAGATGATAAAGTAAACAGCAGTCCTCGCTTAACCTTGTCACCATCAAATACCCTAGTCGCACACGAGGCAACTTTCTTGTTTCTCATATCGGGACTTGAGAAGACGTCGGTGGCCGCTTTGCCCCAGGGTATGGGGCAAAGTGGCCAGTATGCATAGGTTTAAAGTTTTGTCAATATCTTTCATATGTGAACGCCTTTGGAAATAAAACGCAGTTGAAATAAAAGGTCACTTAATAGGGATCACATTGGTATAGAAAGAATCTTTCCAAGTTTAAAAATCAAGCGTTGGCATCGTGAGAAGCGTTAGGGTGGCCGCTTTGCCCCACTCTCCCCTATAGGAGTTCTTTAGCAACATATGTTCTCACCTCCTGTACCGTTATATTGTAAGAGACATGTCTTTTACCGTCGCGTCGGTCAGCGACCAAGGCCAGTGGTTTGACCCTGCGGCTGTATGCTCTCCAGCTCGCCCCTCTCTGTGCTGATAAAGGTTCTCTGGCCACCGCCTGAGCAAACAGTGGCCGGTGGCCGCCGCCGAGGCCGAGCTGGCGTTCCGCCGCCAGCTCTCGGGACACTCCACCTCTTCCCCGTACACTTCGCCGCCGCCCGGCCCTTATCGTGGCCTGCGCCCCGTGAGCCGGCCGCCCGAATGGTTAGCGTTTGCTGACAGCTTGCGATAGTCTCAGAATCCCTCCGGCTCTTGCCCTGGGGTCGCTAGTGGTTGTCCCTGTCTTTTCATACCTTAAAAACAGTCTGAGATAGAACAAAGTCCCTCTGTTCCCTTGTAATGCAACTGAACTCATTCGCCGCCATGGAGAGCGGCGTCAGCTGCGCTCTGACCGCCTGACCTCGTAAGCCCCCTCCCCACACATCCCTCAGTCAATGGCGGGCTAGCTCAGTGTTGGCGTGCCTTTTAAACTTTTGGCGGATTCCGAAGGGACCATCTGGCGACTTTGTCATTCCGCGCCTGCTATGATCGAGTCACCGACCTGTGTCCCTGTGTCTGAGTGTATAGATTCGGAGTCTCCAACTGACTCCCTTTGTCTGACTGTATAGATTCGGAGTCACCAACTGACTCCCTGCGTCTGACTATAGATTCGGAGTCTCCAACTGACTCCCTGTCCCTGTGTCTGACTGCATGGACTCTGAGTCACCGACTGACGTTATGCACCTGACTGTGTAGACTCGGAGTCGGAAACTGACTCGCTGTGTCGATCCGCAGACTCGGAGTCGGAGACGAGCGGCCGGGTGACGCCCATCTTCCAGACTCAGGTGCGCTTTGGGCGCGCTGAAGTGCCGGCGGCTCCGGCCGCTGACGGCCCCGGGCCCGCGGCTCCGGCCGACAGGGCCGACCGCAGTCCGGACGAGCCGGGCGGTCCGCTGGACGGTCCGCCGCCGCCGCTCGGTCACCCGGCCAGCCACCAGTACTTCATCAGGAGAAACATCGAGGTAGGTAGGGCGACCGGCTGCTCCGGCGCACGTGACAGGTAGCCAGGAGCAGCAGTGCACTCTTACCAATAGTGCACTGGTGTACTGATGCAACAGGTGGCTTGTGGCCCTACCCGCCCTGTGGTGACCTGTGGCCTTGTCCCTCCTGTGGTGACCTGTGACCCACCGGTGACCTGTGGCCCTGTCCCTCCCTGTGGTGACCTGTGACCCACCGTTGACCTGTGGCCCTGTCCCTCCCTGCGGTGACCTGTGACCCACCGGTGACCTGTGACCCTGTCCCTCCCTGCGGTGACCCGTGGCGTGCCGCCGCCGGCAGCTGGCCCAGGAGGCCGGCGGCGCGCTGGCCATGACGGACGAGGATCGCCGCCGGGTGGAGCAGCTGCTGGACCAGGACGACGACCGGCTGGAAAACGCCTTCAGCGTCGACGAGCAGCACCGCCGGCTGCTCAGCTCGCTCGACGACCGACTCAGCGTGAGCAGCCGACACCGGCGGCCGGCGGCCGGCGCCCAGCGCCCACCCGCTGCCAGCGGGCCTCTCGGCGTCGCCGGCCGTCTGCCGCCAGTCCGCGCTTCAACCGGTCAATTGCCGCCGCGCTCTGTGAGCTAAGAGAAATAGACGACGAGCGCGGAAAGAAATACTCGATAGCCGCTGACCGGCATATGCTGTCTCTGGCCGGGTTCTGACCGGTGTCTGACCGGGGTCTGACTGCTGGCTGGTTTCTAATCGGTCTCTCTCTGTGGCCGCAGAGTCTGGGCGCCAGTGTAGCCGGCCCGGCCGGCTCGACGTCCCTGGTCAGCCAGCCGGCTGGCGTCGGTCCGCCGACCGACGGCGGCGGCGACTCGGAGCCCGACTACCTGCAGGCGAGCCGGCACGACCGGGAGGCCAGCGCGCACCTGGAGACGCTGCACCGCCGCCTCCAGCGGCTGGCCGAACCCGCGGTACGGCGCGACGCGAGGACGCCGGCGGCAGCGGTCCGCGCGGCCCGTACACGGCTCAGCTGTCTCGCACGGCTCACATATCTCTGGGACTTTTTGCTACGGCTGTTCACTTTTTGCCGCAGTCATGCCGGACAGAAGTGGGCCCGCTGTAACCGGTCGTCCTGCTGCTCCGTGCCGGCAGGAAGTGCGCCCCCTGGACCGCTCTGCCGTGGACGCTATGGTCCAGGAGACGATCGCGTCGCTGGCGGCGGCTCCGGGCGGCCTGGGCGACCCGGGCGCCGGCTCACTGGTCTCGGTGCCGTGCCGCGGCTCGGACGGCGGCGGCGCGCCCAGCGAGGCGCCCACAGAGGCCACCCTGGACGTGCGCTCCGTGCTGAGCGGCACGCGACTGGACGAGAACGAGCGGCAGCTGGCGGCCGAGCTGCGGCCAGACTCGCCCACCGCCTGGCTGGTGGCCGTCAGCCAGGGAGACCAGCGGGTAAAGGCGGGGGACTGTAGTGGGTAGGGCGGGGGACTAGTGGGTAGGGCGGGGGACTGTAGTGGGTAGGGCGGGTGACTAGTGGGTAGGGCGGGGGACTGTAGTGGGTAGGGCGGGGGACTGTAGTGGGTAGAGTGGGGGACTGTAGTGGGTAGGGTGGGGGCTGTAGCGGGTAGGGCGGGGACTGTAGCGGGTAGGGCGGGGGACTGTAGTGGGTAGGGCGGGGGACTGTAGTGGGTAGGACGGGGGACTGTAGTGGGTAGGGTGGGGGCTGTAGCGGGTAAAGGCGGGGGACTGTAGTGGGTAGGGCGGGGGACTGTAGTGGGTAGGGCGGGGGACTGTAGTGGGTAGGGCGGGGGACTGTAGTGGGTAGGGCGGGTGACTAGTGGGTAGGGCGGGGGACTAGTGGGTAGGGCGGGGGACTGTAGCGGGTAAAGGTGGGGGACTGTAGCGGGTAGGGCGGGGGGCTGTAGCGGGTAAAGGCGGGGGACAAGCGGGTAAAGGCGGGGGACTGTAGTGGGTAGGGCGGGGGACTGTAGCGGGTAAAGGTGGGGGACTGTAGCGGGTAGGGCGGGGGGCTGTAGTGGGTAGGGCGGGGACTGTAGTGGGTAGGGTGGGGGCTGGTGGGTAGGGCGGGGGGCTGTAATGGGTAGGGCGGGGGACTGTAGCGGGTAGGGCGGGGGACTGTAGTGGGTAGGGCGGGGGACTGTAGCGGGTAAAGGCGGGGGACTGTAGCGGGTAAAGGTGGGGGACTGTAGCGGGTAAAGGCGGGGGGCTGTAATGGGTAGGGCGGGGGACTGTAGTGGGTAGGGCGGGGGACTGTAGTGGGTAGGGTGGGGGCTGTAGCGGGTAAAGGCGGGGGACTGTAGTGGGTAGGGCGGGGGACTGTAGTGGGTAGGACGGGGGACTGTAGTGGGTAGGGTGGGGGCTGTAGCGGGTAAAGGCGGGGGACTGTAGTGGGTAGGGCGGGGGACTGTAGCGGGTGAAGGCGGGGGACTGTAGTGGGTAGGGCGGGGGACTGTAGTGGGTAGGGTGGGGGCTGTAGTGGGTAAAGTGGGGGCTGTAGTGGGTAGGGCGGGGGACTGTAGTGGGTAGAGTGGGGGACTGTAGTGGACGACGAATGGGAAATTTTAAGGAATGGGAACCGGGCCCAATCTCACCAAGTGCAGTAAACTCATTTTGCGGTAAACTACCCCAAAACGAATCTCACCACTGCCGTAATTTTTGAAGTTACCGCATCGAAATAACCCCATGGGATAGCTTCGGTTTTACAGCAAATTCTTCATGTGCGCAACTGCTCACGGCCCGAAAGCAAGTAAACAAACCAAACAATCAGCTGATTGCCCCCAAATGTCGGACCAAAATTACCGCAGACATTTGTGCCGTAATCTCTAAATGTTATACCAATTGTGAGCAAGAATCAACAATTAAAGATGTAATAAGAACTTTATAAGAAAGAAAAGAAATAGGTTTCTTTTTTAAGATTATTTTTTGTTGCAGCCTGCGCCACCTATGCTTCCTATTTGCAGTACCCAAAACAGCATGTAGATGTCGCCCGTGAGTCTTGGAAACTGAGGTGCCGCTTGGAAAGAAGAAACACGCTATCGTTGCCATGGCGACAAAACAATTGCGTTCTTTATATCGCGCCGGCGTGATCAGCAGCTTTTCCACCAATCCGAAGCGTCGACAAATGGGGCTCTTTTGCAGGATTTGCACAAAATGCGGTAAATTACAGCATGGGGTCGTTTGGGTTGGTGAGACTGGATTATTTGCTTGGGGTTATTTCGGTGCGGTAACTTACCGCTACCCCAAACGAGTTTACTGCACTTGGTGAGATTGGGCCCAGGAGAGCTGAGGACTGGGTGGGATTCCTGTAGGTAGGGACCTACTGAGGCTGGGATTAGTGTGGATGTTCGTGGCCGGCCGGCCTCCTCGTACGCGTATTGCGCCGTGCCGGCTGGTCCGACCCTGTGACGTTGCATTGTATGTGCGGCGTCATTTCATATCTATGGGATCCAACAATGTTGGATTTCACCACCACAGACGTGTCAAAGTACATAAAGACAGGGTGAATTGGGTGATACTGGCGAAGACAAATATGTAAAAAAAGGCGTAGCGTATCCGTGTATGACATGTGTGTGGCGTTTGTGCGCGCCGTCAGCTGTATGACATGTGTGTGGCGTTTGTGCGCGCCGTCAGCTGTATGACATGTGTGTGGCGTTTGTGCGCGCCGTCAGCTGTATGACATGTGTGTGGCGTTTGTGCGCGCCGTCAGCTGCAGCTGGTGGTGCCGCGGCTGAGCCGAGCGCTGATCGCGTCCCTGCTCTCCGGCGACCACGAGAGCGGCGCAGACGTCACCGCCGGCGGCCACTGCCACCACGAGACCGGCGCAGACGCCACCGCCGGCGGCCACTGCCACCACGAGACCGGCGCAGACGTCACCGCCGGCGGCCACTGCACCGCCGGCTCGCCGACACTGGTCCACGACTGACGGATTGGACTGGTGGACTGACGGACTGGACTGGTGGACTGGTCCGGGACTGACGGACTAGACTGACGGACTGGACTCATGTACTGGACTGATGGGCTGACAACGACTGACGGACTGGTCCTAGACCGGCGGATCAAACTGACGGACCGGTCTTACGCTCGACTTACGGGGACGAATGGACTGGACTAATGGACTTACGGACTGACAGACTGACCCGGGACTGATGGACTGGTCCGGGACTGACTGACTGGACTGGTGGACTGGACCGGTACTGACGGACTGGTCGCACTGGCGGTCAGGCCGGGGTGTGACGGGACTGGCGGACGTGCTGTTCATCGGTGCGGGCTGACGACTGACGACTGCGGGCGGAGCGCGCCGAGCCGAGAACGGACACCAGTCCGGTCTACGGCGGCAGTTCGGACTGGCGGTCAGCTGACGAATGAGTCTGTAGCCGGAGACTGGTCAAAGTCGGGTCAGACTGATGGACTGACGTGTCTGACATTGTCAGTGTGTCTGGGCGGGAGAGGGACGCGCAGCGGACAGCTCGAGTTGCTCGAGGCGATCTCGGTTAGGTGCTATAAATTTATGTCATGTACGTACTGTTGATGCTTGGGACACTGTATAACACCGTACGTGTTGGAAGGTCACATTGCGTTTCGCGGTTTACGACATGCAGACATTTCTAGTCATCTGGACTGGTCAGTGGTCATTTCTACTGTAAATTGTTCGGCAGCGAGCGCGTCGTATCAATGCGGCTGGTGACACATTGTTCTGCCAGCCTTACTATACACACCTGAAAAAGAATAGGTATATGAGGCCTTATAATAAATGGTTTCCAGAGCCACGTGTTTTTGTCGTCATTTGCTTCATCATAAAAAGCCGCCTGGATTTTATTTGCATCCCGGAAGAATGTCAGCAGTTACAAGCTATTTAAGAAGGTACATGAAGTTTTGTTTCGTTTGCAGTCATATTGCGTGCATATTTTTAATTAACCTTCGCCCCGGGGGGGGGGGGGGCATATGTTACTAACCTGTCGCGTTTTTTTGCGTGGGAATAAAAAACTGCCGCGCGTAGCGCCGCGCCGCTTGGAGTAGCTTTTTGTAGGCACATCAATTTTGGACAATGTATGAAATTTTTGACACCCCAGGTCATGTCAAGTCAGGTCACCAGGTCAAATTCACTGACCAAGCCTAAAAAAGTTTGCGATCATATCCAGCTTGCAGTGTTTGTCAGAAAGGTTTTAAACTTGGTGGATTGCATGATGTTATCGGCGCCTATGATTTGTATATCTCATATTTTTTATATCCGTGACCTAAGGTCAAGCCAGTGGCGTGACCTTACCATTATAAGTCAATGGAGCAAAATGAAAATGCCTCTAGATCCGTGTGTACGCATAGGAACAGTCCAAATATTTCAGAATCACAATTATTTGGACCACCTGTGACAACCAAGGTGTCTTTTTTTGCTGATGCCTCTAGAAAGGTCATCCGAGGTCATTTGAGGCTACAAACATATTTTTGCCAATAACTCTCGATTGGAAAGAGCTAGGACGCTGGGGATGGCCTCATTGCGTTTGTCTTGTTGAGACGCATCGAATGATATGCAACATGACCTTTTCCGGTCCGGTCATGACCTTGACCTGAGGTCAAATTTGAAGTTGACCTTTCAAGGTCAAATTATAGTTCATTCGACGCGTCTCGGCGAGAGGAACACGATTCTGGCAATATAAATGTCGTGGCTTTTTTTAGTGAAAAATTATTGTCAAAAACACTTCGTAAAAACAGCTATTTTTGGAGTTTTTGCCATCTGGGGGCTAAACCGTTGACCTGAGGTCAATTTTGATAATGACCTTATCAAAATAAGAGTTCGAAAGCTATCGATTGCTTTCCCATGCGTTTTTTCTAGATATCATAGTTCCTGAGATAAATGCATGTTTTCTGAAAAATGTAGGCAAATTTTGACCTTTGATGACTTACAGTGACCCCAATATTGTTCTAAGGTGAAAAATGACCGAAATACTTTCAAACGTACGCAGGGTAACTTTTAACCCTATTAGTGGCAGGCTCCTGGCTACCCCATATTAGTGGCAGGGGGGGGCTGTTTACGACCCCCCCTTGATATCTCGAGATCTAACCGGCCGATTTTCAAAATTCAAACGGCATTCGATTTGGCTCAACGAGATTTACATTTCTAAAAAAAAATAAAATTAAAAATGTCAATAGGGGGGTAGAGGGGGGTAAAAACGGGCAAATTGCAGATACATTTTAGACTGTTTATCACGGCCAGGTTTCTGAACCAATCTTAACGCAACTTTTGCCGATCGATAGAGAATGAACCAGGAATTCACATGGATCCTAAAAATATGCATTTTCAAAAATCATAGGCGGATACAGATCATTGAGATTGGGGGTACACAAAAAGTATGGTAAATAAGGTTTTTGTTGGTACTGTTTCTAAAAAGGGTGGCAATGGTCTTGTTATGTTACAATTTTCTTATGAGAGAACGACTAAAATTGTATTGGTCATGCATAGGCGGTGTCAGGGAACCTATGTTGGGAGGTATAAAATAACCCCCCCTTTTTGGACGCCTGGATCCGCCTATTATAGCAAAAACGTGTCAAAAGAGGATGCACAATAACTTTGTATATGTTATCACATGATACCTTTCATTCACTGTTCGTAAAACTGGTGCAGCATCGTGATCTTCGCCCAAATGACTCGCTTCACGAATAGGACCCCCAATTCCCAGTGCTCTGGAGCCGCCCCTGGTAAAGTTATGAACTTCAAATTTTCAGGGAATGTGCCCAATTTAGTTTTAGGAAAAGTCAGAAAATTTCAGCATCGTAGCTTCAGCGGTTTCGGAGATATTCCCGAAAAACCTGAGGGGTGGATAAAAACAACCCCCCCCCCCCTGCCACTAATAGGGTTAAAGGGGGAATTTCCCCCCTTCGAAAATTCCGCTCCCCTTTCAAATTGTGCGTGAACGGCTAGGGAGGGAAGGGGGAATTTCCCCCTTTCAAATTTATTCTTGAGCCCATTTTCAATCAATTCGCTACTCAGATTCTATAATCATCGTTGATCAGACTCTAGTCATCAATCAACGTTGCTGGCGCTTAGATAATTTTCAATTTGAGGTTCCATCCAACCATTTTACGTTCAGTGCAGCGGGAACTCCAGATTTGACCCGATACCGATCGGATGGTCGGTGGGACCGTCTGTTGTCTTGTCTCTTCCGTCTCTTCGCAATCACTGACATATCGCTACAGGCGTCGGCGTAGAAACCGGCGGGTACGGGGTCATGACCTCTCTGAACCAAGGGTCTTCCTTCGAACCAGGGTCCTTCAATCGGTCTTGGCCTAACAAAAATAGTTGCGTGTTAGCCTCTCTCTATTTAGAAAGGCGCTACTTGATGTTTGGCCAGGGTAATAGGTTGATACTACTGATTGACATTTGCAACTTGCAAGGGCGCAGTCAAGTTGGGACCAGTCCCCTGCCCCTTACCGCCATGGTAGGTACCTACGTAAAGTTTTTAGCTATTTTTTTTGCAACCTAACAATATAAAGTGGCCAGATTCCGGGGAGAGAGTAGGATTTGGGGGTAGGTAAGGTTCTGCAGGCGCCATCCTAACAAAAACCTAATGGCATTGGGCCCCCCTTTCAGATGCCCGTGGATCCGCCCTTGCCCCGAACTTTATTCCCCCTCTCGACTTTTCCTGTAAAAGTAACCCTGAACGTACGCATGGAGAGCTATCGACTGCTGTTTACCGCGACTTTCTAGCCCTCTTAGTTTTTGAGTTAGAGGTGGGTGGTAACATATCCCCCCCCCCCCCCACCCCACTTAGGGCGAAGTTGGCTGAGACCGCCACTGGGGCGCGGGTTGATGCTGGTATCTACAAATTCGTCGTGATGGTAATTGGTAGGTACTGGGAGTTGGAACCCCTCGATTGTAGGTAATGTCCGTTGCCCTTATGAAGGAACAATTTTATGACAGCACTTGGATTTTCTCTCACGTTGTTATAGCCAGAATGTGTTAATTTAACTGGAAAAGTAATTAAATGTTCCAAAAAGCGTCAAACGATCATTAAGCCGGGGTCGAATACTGTCTACTTATGAAAGCGTCTAGGTTGCAGTCTTTCCTCGAGGCATAGGCCTCAGAACGGGGAGGGCACCGGGGCACCGTGCCCCCCTTTGACATAGATGAGGTATTCCTCATCCTCCGTAGGAATACCTAATCCATGCCTTTGATTTTGGCATTTTAACATTAGCCCTATGGGCGTTGGATGGAAAGAATGGGACCAAAAGTCGGCAGTGCCCCCCCCCCTGCAGTGCAGTGAAGGTGTTCCGCCGCTACTGCCTCGAGGTAGGTATTAACCCGGCAGGCGGTGGGCCTACCAGCCACCCTCCGCGCGGTGGGGGGGGGGCACTTTTTTGCCCCCCCCCCGTATCTCCGAAACTACTGGACGGATCCGGAAAATTCAAACGGCGTTCGATAGCCCTGTCAAATTTGTCGAAGGAAACCAAATTTCATTGACCTCGGGGTCACCGATGACGTCACAGGTCAGGTCAAAGATAAAATGTTTCACCGTTCACGAGGCTTCTAGGGAAAGCGCTATAACACCGAGTAAAACGCATTTTGTCGAAAATCAGCGATAAGGCGTCAGTTGTCTAGTACATATGTTGCTATTAGAGGTCACTGGTCATACCAGGTCAGGTCACAGGTCAGGTCACCAAAGGTCACCAAGGGTCACCACATGAGCCCAACTTTACTAAGGTTATGCGATGCATGTTTTATGGCCAGTTTTTCATTTCCAACTCAATGGTGTTGGTTATAAGACCATCAGGTACGGTTTAGGTCACTTTCTGGTGGAGGTCAGGTCAAGGTCAGGTCAAAAAAGGTCAAATTTCAAAGTTGATATTTTTGCATAAAATGGGTATCGATTCGATGCACCTCGTCACGGGGAGTCTAATGGTGGTCTTTGTTTTGCGCTACGAGGTCTAGAATTGCTAAAAATTGAGTTTGAAAATTTGACGTCATCAATTTTGAACATTTTTTTCGCTATAACTTGGCCAAAAAAAGAGGTATCGATCTCAAATTTGGTATGTAGATAGAAGGCGGTAGGGACTATCACATGTATTCCGGTTTTTTTCGAAATTCAAAAAACTTTTTTGATTTTTTGGCTATTATATTAAAAAAATATTTATTTTTTGATTTTTGGAGGTCAAAATCCAAAAAATTCGAAAAAAAACGAAATAGCAGTTTTGTAGCCCTTTTAATTCCACACCTTTTATGTCTGAAACATTTTTCTGTATCTCTAAAGCTGTAGGCCTGACAGCTCTTCCCGCGAAACCTTTTTTTGGGGTCGAAAATGGCAAAAATGACGTCACTCTGACGTCATTAGCGGCCAACCTATCATAGCCTTTGGAAAAAATTTTGGTCACCATGTGCGCTAGCTGCTCCCGGGAGGGTAGGGTAGACCGGGGCAAGTCGCCCCGCCGAGGTAAAACGCCTCACCGATGTTTCTCGGAACTGGCAAGGTTCTGGGGAAACATCCTCTCTTCTATAAAACGTGCACTATACGATCATTATATGAGCAGACTGGAAAGAAATTGTGATGACTCTTTAGGGAGATATAGCCAAAAATGTGTTTTTTGAGTGATTTTTATGTTTTGTTGTCAGATTATGCATCATGGCGTTCTTTTATCGTCCACATCAGGTTAACGACTTTAATGTATTTTGAACAACTATTGTCTAACGCTTATAATGCCGGGCTGGTTCGTGTTAAATAATGTCTTCCTGGAGTGCAAGGCGTTGTTCTCTGACGGAACTACGTGATGGGGTAA